AAGTAGAAATTGAAATATTTGATTGTCAGTGTTTTAACAGCGGCTAGAATTGTATTTGCTAAGAATTGGAAAAATGAAAAAATACCTATGCAGGAGGAAATTATTAAGAAAATCATGAACTGTGCCGAAATGAGTAAATTGACATTTGAAATTAGAGAACAAGAGGATAAACTATTTTATATGATGTGGGATTTATTTTATCAATGGTTAGATAAAAAGACATGGTAAAGAAATAGATTAGTAAGCCTTACAATAAAAGTCAACAGATTGACATAGAATACAATATAAAATATATAACCATTGGATGAATGTATAAGATTAACTCATAATGAAAATTAGAATATCTCATAGGAAATGATGGAAAAATAGTCAAATAAATGTTTAATAATTCATATTATATAAACATAAGCTAGATCGATAAGGTGAGAATTTATATAACTTGTGAGTAATGGTAAAAAAAGGATAGCACAAAAGATTGTAACCAACTGACACACTGTATGTATATAATTGAAAGAGGGTTTTATGTTTTTATGTTTTGCTCGTATGTTTCTTGTAAAAAATAAAAACTTTGTTTAAAAAAAAAAGAAAGGAACAAAATAGAGAAAAGAGAAGTGGAAAAGAGGGAGACTCTACATGATGAGGTATATTTGTAGTAAAACATATATAATAGACTTTGAGGAGATGGGATTAAGAATTAGAACAAGAAGGAATTATTTAAATGTACTAGATATGAAAATAAGAACTTATAATAGATTAATTAAGATAGACAAATGCTTATGTAAGATCTAAATGATTAGGGGATAAAATATGAAAAATGTTTTGTGGAGCCTGACAGAGAATAGATATAACCATGTAGTAGTATAATATTTTTAATGAATTATATATGTGCTGTCCAGCCAGTGTATGGGAATTGGATAGTTAGGTAGCAATTGTGAGCTGTCCCCTTAAGGGAATGCATCATGGTAAATGTAGTTAAAGGTACCCTGGGAAATGTAGTCCATATCACGTGACCACATCTGTAATCCTGATTGGTCATTAAATTGATCCTGGAGTTTCCCTCACTTTTGCCTGAACTCCCTAACTCATGGCAGTTGCTTTCTATCACTAGGAGATGGGTTACGAGATAACCATCTTTTATTACAAGGCAGGTATGCAAAGGATTGGTCATTAAAGAAGAACTTCGTCACAAATGTGATTTATGAGGATACCTGATGAACCAATAAATGTACTTTGTTATGGACGTCTTGTTGAGTTTATCTATCTGCATCTGCACAGCTTAAAAATCCACTACTGTGCAGAGGACAGAAAAATATATTTTGTTATTTATATATATATTTATAAGGTCATGAGGTTATAATGTTACAAGTTTGGAATTATTGGCTAAAAGAAAAGTTATTTGAGTAAAAATGAGATGTTAGAGGGAAGGGAATAGAAAAAAAATATATGCAACAGTGCCAAGTGTAATAATGGGGGGACATAATAGGAGATAATATAAATTAAGATGAAATTTTGAATGCTTAATGAATGGTATGAAACTGTCAACATGCTGAGCACAAGAATGATTAGTATATCTTTCATGAAATATTATATTATCTACTTGTATAAGGTAATGAGGATATATTGCTGTAAATCTGACAATATTGGTTAAAAGAAAATAAGATGGAAAATGTATTTATGTAAAAATGAGAAGTGTAAACATGTTGAAAATATGATTAAGGAAGATCGATAATTTTTAATGGATTAATGAATTAAATATTCTGTTATATGTTATATTTGTATAAGGTAATGAGAATATATTGCTGTAAATCTGAGAGAATTGGCTAAAAGAAAATAAGATGGAAAATGTATTTTGGGATAGCTATAAATTAAGGTGAAACTTTGAATGATAAATGAAATGATATCAATAGATTGAACTGTAAACATGTTGAATATATGACTGAGGAAGACAGAAAATGACCAAAAATAAAAAGGCTGATATGAAGTAATTTATGAGAATTTGAAGAAGAAAATATGACAATAGATAATGATGTGATGTTAGAAAGTTGTATTTGTGATTATAGACAGGATTGATTTAAAGCGTAAAACACCCGGAACCACACTGTCCTTGCAAAGAAGTATTTAAATGATTAGAAAATAAAAATCTTTTTTGCAAGAAATAATAGAGTGAGAGGGAGGGGCTTCTGGATGGAAAGAGGGAGGGAAACAGGCGGTTCCTGAAGAGGATAAAAAGGAATCAGGGAGAGAAAGAAACAGATGAATATCCAGGCAATCCTCGACTTACGACCACGATTGAGCCCAGAATCTCTGTTGCTAAGTGAGGCGTTTGTTCCATGAGCTTTGCCTCATTTTGTGACCTTTCTTCCCCAGTCGTTAAGTGAATCCCTGCAGTTGTTAAATAAATAACATGGTTGTTATGTGAACCCTGCTTCCCCATGGAAGGTTGCAAAAAGGGTTCAGAAGAGCCTGGGACACTGTGACCGTCACAAGTATGAGTCAGTGGACAAGCACCTAGATTTGGCTCAGGGGACTCTGGGAGGCTGCAGCCATCATAAGTGTGAAACAGGGTCAGAAGTCATTGTTGTCACTTCTGTCTTTGAACCGTCACTAAGGGAACTGTTGTAAGTGGAGGACTCCCTGTATTGAGAAGTAGGGAGGGAAAGAGAGACCTGGCTGGATTCCCCTCCCCCCCAAAGAAGAAAATCATATACTTGGCTGGATTTCCTGGGGGGATCAAAGGGATCCCCGATCCCGGACAGGAGGAGAGTTCGGATCCGGGGGAGAAGAGGGAGATTCCGGAGCTCTGAGAGGGCAGAAGGAAGAAGGAGGCGGAACCGTCACCCGGGAGGAGAATCCCCAGTGGATGCCAGGAAAGGAAAGGGGGGTCCCGGCCTCCCCCTCCCAGGGAAGAAGAGACCCTCCCCCCCCCAGGACTCACCTCTCCGGCCAACCACGCGCTCCTCCCTCTTGGCCGCCTCGTAGCTGTACACCCCGTAGTTGCGTCGGCAGAAACGATCCACTCCGACCTTCTGGTACTGCATGATCTGCTTGTCTGCGTTCCACCTGTCCGCCTCCGTCTTCGCCAACGCCGTGATGGCCACGAACTTCCCGAGGTCGCTGTCGAAGCGTAGAATCTCCTGCTGGTCGTAGAAGTTCCTGAACAGGTACCGCACCCGCTGCGTCCCGTTGAGGAAGCGGCACTCGGACTTCTCCTGGTAGAGGAAATGGACTGGGTGGAGGAGGAGGAGGAGGAGGAGGAAGGCCATCAGGAGGGACTCCAGGGCCCATCACTCCCAGCCGCTAGTAGAGAGGAGAAGGGGGTCCTACCAGGAAGAGGGGAGGGTGGGGGGAACCTTCCTTTGAGAGACTGATGGGAGACACCCCTGGAGGAGGGAGGGGGGACTCTCTCACTCTGAGGGGGAGGCAGACTGGGGGAGGAGGGAAGAAAGGAGGAGGGGAGGAGCCTCCTTAAGGGACCCCCCTCCATCCCTTCCGGTGAGGGAGGGCAGGCAGAAGCTTCTTGTCCCCCCCCCCCAAATTCAGAGCCTCCCCCAGAAGGGACCGAAGCTCCCCTCTTGCCTGACCTCCAAAGCCTCAAATCTGAGATTCAGAAGAAAAAGCGAAGTTTCTGCAGAACCCAAAATTCTTTGGCTCTTTTTCCTTCTGGGGCTTCAGGGCTGAAAATGTCTGTTTCCCTCTTTCGCTTTCGCTTTTCCTTCCCTTCCTCTTTCCAGGCAGCCCACTCCGACCCAGACAATGGGGAGGGGGGTCAGAGAGGGGCCCGGCTGCGACCCCCACCTCGGCTACAACCGGGGAACAAGGGAGGGGTCCCCCCCCGCCCCCCGGGGGGGGGGGGAATGTGGGGAGGAAAAGGAAGGAGACCACGCAGAGATCGAGGCTCTTGGAGGCTCTGGGGACCCACCAGCTTCCTTCCCGCTCCGGGGGTCCTTCCCAGCCCCTCCTCCCCTGCCCAGCCCCCTCCTTACCGGGGGTCTCCTTCCCCCCTTCGCTTCCGGGGATCCGGGCCAGCGTCCCCACCAGCAGCACCAGGGGGAGCCCAGCCAAAGCCATGGATGCCGCCCCACAAGCGCCCGCAAAGAAAGGCGAGAAGGACGCGGAGGCTCCCGGCCCCCCAGGAGGAATCGGAGGGTCTGAACTGGGGAAGGCGGAGTTTTCCCAACACTTCGGGACTGGGAGCGTCCAGGAAGAGCAGGAGGACCAATGAGAATCCTCCCTTCTTGCAGCGTCATCCGTCTCCGGGCAGAGTCTCCCTTGAATTCACAGCAAGCGGAGATAGTTCCGCGCAGTGAGAGAAGCGGAGAAAGTGGGAGAGGGGATTTTTTCAGTCTTGGGGGGGCGCAGCTCAAGGGGGGGTTCATTGCAGTCCTGGAGGGGAGTGTGGAGCTTGCGGGAATCCTCTCCTCTCCTCCCCTTTTCTTCTACTTTATTGTCCTCCATGGGAGGAAAACCTCTCATAGCTTCGCTCTGAATTGAAGGAGTATGAACTATGAGGAAAAAAGGAAATAATACTCCCCACCATCACCACTTGCAGAAATGAACTGGTCCCCCTCCTCCCCATTCCTGTGTAACCTGCAAATGTTTCTTCTTTAAGGGGGGGAGACAAAGAAAACTCTTTCCCCCGATTCTTTTCCAAACTGCGGGGGAGAGGGAGGAAATGCTGACTCCCCCCTTTGGGAAAACGTCCCCCTCGGAGAGCAGCCCCAGGGTGGCCCCGAGAGCCTGGGCTCCACTCCACGGGTGTCTGTGTGTGAAAAGCCCCCTCTGAGCTTCAGTCACCCCTCCCAAGGCTGAAGGGATTCCCCCCTCCACTTTTCCCGCTTGTCTCTCTGCTCCCTCGGGTGACGTCACCAAGGACTCTGCCTGGAGACCAAGACGGCCCATTGGGTTGATGGAGACCAGGCAGTTGGGGGGGCGCTTCAATCTGGATCCCTGCCCAGAGGGGGGGCACTGGGACCCCAGAGCTGCCAGAGACCCTCCTGAGGTAGTCAGATTAGGAAAAAGAGAGAATTCCCCCTCAGAAACCTTGGAGAAAGAGCCTTTCCTGGGTTCGGCCTCTTTCAGCCTTGGCCCTTCAGCCTCCATTTTCTCCCCTTCTTGGAACTGGGCCTGATTTTTCTACCAACACTTTCATCGGGTAAAATAGGAACCCACGACTGGCAGGTGCAACTGAAGAGATTGAATGTAGGGGAATCGCGCAACTGCTGCCCAAAGGAAGCGGGAGACACAGAGACAAATTTGCAGTTTTATATCAATATAAATGTATTTAACTTTCACAGCAGAGAAGACAGACAGGAACATCCTGAGGTAAATCTCAAACAGCCGAGAGAAGAAAAAGGCGGTAAAAGGGGAAACGCCTCCTTTCCACCCTCAGCAACCAATCAGAACTCAGATCCTGTCAGGCGGGAGCCCGTCCCTCACTCGGCCACAACTGGGTGTTTGGAACCTTTGTGCGCTTTCCTTCTCCAGCCATTAAATGGGATATTTTCACATTTACAGTGTACAAAAGAAAAAGACCCAAAATGACTTCGCTTTTGTCCATTAAGTTGAATTGTCAGGCTGGAATGTGTTTTTTTTTAAATCATGCACTGTGCTAAAAAAAAGACAACATCTTTTTCCCCTTTTTTCTCTTGTATCTCATACTTTCTTTTCCCCTCTTTTTCCTGCCCTTAATTTCCTATTTTTCTTCTTCTTTGTGTTTTGTATAATAAATAAATAAGACCTTGAGACTCCAGAAAGAGTGCAGAGAAGAGCAACAAAGATGGAGGCTAAAAGATATTTTAAAAAGCGGTTGCTGGAACTGGGTGTGTCTGGTCTGAGGAAAAGAAGGACGAGGGGAGACATGGGTGCATCTTCCAATATCTCAGGGATTTCCACAAAGAAGATTTCTCTCTTCTCTCCTCTAAATAAAGATAGAAGCGGACCTAATGAAAGAGGCAGAGGTGGAGTTGCACTTTATAGATAAGAAATAACCAAACCGCTCTAGAAACGCCACAGAAGAAAGAGGAAAACCTCCTTCGAGGCATTTGGGTTCATATAAAAGGGGAGAAAGAAGCACAGATGTGGAGGCCTTTGTCTGACAGATCCATGGAGAGGGGCTTTTCCCGCTACTCCTAAGCCCATCATCCCCGCCCTCCCTCTTCCCCCTCCCATGCGCTCCTCTTTCCCGCCCTTTCTACCCTCCAGGCCCTTTGCCCCAAATCCACCAGGGGGCGGCCTCCGCCAAGGGAAGGGAACTCCAGGCGCTTCCCCATCGGGCCACTGGAGGGCGAAAGTCACAGCTGCCTTCCCAGAGGAGGTTGAAGTGACATCACTGAACCTTGCCTCTCTAGGACACTGCACTCGCTCTCCTCAACCACTGGTGCACGGCAGGAGGCGGAGAGGCTGTGGGAGAACCTGGTGGGGTGATAACCAGACGTGCCCCAGGTAAGGGGGGTCTCTTCTCGAGTCCCATGCTCCCCAGCCGCCCTCTCCATGTGAAGGGGGGAGGGGAGGGTGGGCCTGGCGGAGGCCCAGCAGGAGAGGAGAGAAGCCAGGCGGGGAGGAGGAGGCAGGATTCACACCGGGCTCCCCGAGGGTCCGATCCTGTCTCAGGAGGGGGAAAGAAGCAGAGGGCTGCCTCCTTCCCAACCGGGAGGGGGCGTGGGCCCTGCGCTGGGAGGAGCCGCTTGGGCCTCTGGGCAGGTTGGGGAAATGGGGTCCAGGGGCTGAATCCCCCTTTCTGATCCTGGGCATTGGTTTTTCTCTACCTCCCAGATCCGAAACCTCGAAGCCCTCAGCAGCCTTTGCAAGCCAGGATTTCCTCTACGAAGGAAGGAAGGAAGGAAGGAAGGAAGGGAGTGGAAGGACCGCCAGGGATCCGTCCTGCAGCCCCAGAAATGGTCCCATGAAGGAAGAGGCCCCTGGAGATCCCCAAAGTCCCTGCAGCCCTTTGAAGCTGCTCTGCTGGAGAGAGGAAGGATGGAGACACCCACTTTGGCCAAGGAGGGGAACGGAAAAGGCGCCGCAGCTCTTCAGCCTGGGAACTGTGGGGAGAGCTGGACCAGAAACGGGCAGAAGGTCCTGCAGGAGGGAACCATCCTTCCTTCAGAACTTCCACCCTGGACCTTCATCCGATACCAGGAGGCTGAGGGTCCCCAAGGACTTTGCAGCCGACTCCATGACTTGTGCAGGCAATGGCTGAGCCCAGGAAAGCACCGCAAAGCCCAGATGCTAGACCTGGTGGTTCTGGAGCATCTCCTGGCTCTCCTGCCCCCAGAGATGGAGGGCTGGGTGAGGGAGTGTGGAGCAGAGAGCAGCTCCCAGGCAGTGGCCCTAGTGGAAGGCTTTCTCCTGAGCCAGGCGGAGGAGCAGAAGGAGCAGCTCCAGCGGCAGGTGGGAGACTTTAGGGAGCTCGGAAGGGAATAAAGAGAGAGAGTGTTTGAATGCTTCACCCCTCCTTCCCAAACTTCTTCCATGTTCATAATGTGAGGCAATTCTTGTAGGACATTGTTCCATTGTTTTCTCATTCAGCTACATGTGTTAAGCCTGGATTCCCCAACAGGTGTTAAGGAAAACAAACTAAACAGAACGTGCAGCGAAGTCAGATAGGAAGACAGGTAAATGTGTGAGATAAGTTTTCTAGTTAACACGCAGTAAAAATACAGATACGCTTGTGCTATCAAAAAGATAGTTTATTCCATTTAAGAATTATAGCATAGTCAAAATAAACGGTCCATTAGTCATATATCATATCAGTCAAGTCTTGTCAGGGATACTCTATTTGCAAAGTCCGTGTTGAATAGCCAATGTCAGTACACTTACAATAAATCAATCTTTATCTTCTCTCCGTTGAGAAATATCAACACTCCTGTTTCACTCCCCGTTTCAGCAAGAACGCAGTCATCAATCCATCCATCAGTAAGCCAAAGAGAGCGAGCTGCATTTGCCTCGCTTCTTATATAGTGCTTTTACAACCACACCCTTAATTACATTCTTTCTGTTAAAGTTACACACACTTTAACTAACAAACCATGATACCACATTTATTATTTTTACCCAAACCAGTTAGGGTAAACAATGTTATCCCTAACATTCTCCCCTTTTGGGTAATAATAATAATATTACAATAATATAATCATTTACACCTTTAAATCATAATTGTTACAACTCTCTTTAAATTTTACAACACCTTGAGCTTTTGTAAACTGGTCTGCAATGTTTTCTTCCGTCATGCAGTACTCTAGTTTAATTAGACCATTTTTTACAGATTCTCTTACATTTAAGTATCTTAAATCAGTATGCTTTGATCTAGTCTTTACAGCAATATTAGTAGCTAATTGTATAGCTGCCTGGTTGTCCTCGTACACAATAATAGAATCTTTAACAGTTATACCCATGTCTAATAATAACTGTTTGTACAGAATTAAGTCAGTGCATAGTAATGACAGACATGAAAATTCTGCTTCCATCGTTGACAAGCTAATATGCTGTTGTCTGATTGACCTCCACCCTATTAGAGTCTTACCAAATAATATAGCCATCCCAGATGTTGATTTTCTAGTGTTTATGTCAGTTGCAAAACTTGCATCTGCATAGGCACTAAGATTCAAATCACCTTTTGGCTCTAGATACAATGCATGGTGCATTGTTCCTTTAAGATATCTTAAAATTCTCTTTAATGCTTGCCAATGACATTGATGTGGATCATTATTAAATCGTGCCAGCTGATTAATACTATAAGCTATATCTGGCCTTGACCAATTGCTTATATATGATAAGCTACCAATCAAAGATTGATATATGGTCTTATCAAATTTGGGACTTTGAGCATCATTTTTGCAAATTTCCTGACTCATTGGAGTCTTTGCAGGCTTACAAAGTTCCATTTTATACAATTTAATTAATTGGCAAATTTTATCCTCTTGAGATATCTTAAATCCTTTTGTGGTTTTGTTAATTGTCAATCCTAGATACTTTTTAATTTCACCTAAATGCTTTAATTTTATCTTTTTGGCTAATAATGAAATAATCTCAGTAGCTTCATTATTGGTCTTAGTAATCAAAGCAATATCATCTGTAAATAATAACAATAATGACACCGTTCCATTATTTTCTCTTTTAAACATACATGGATCTGCTAAACCAGATTTAAACCCTATATTGTTTAATTCTTTCACAATATATTGGTTCCATTCATAGCCAGATTGTTTCAATCCATATAAACTCTTCTTGAGTTTCCAACAATCATTGCTATTTACTTTATCATCATTTATACCAACTGGTTTTTTCAAATATATTGTATGCTGCAATGGTGCATGTAGATATGCAGTTTCTACGTCTAAATGGTTAACTGTATAATTATTCTTAGCTGCCCACACTAAAGCTGCTCTTAAAGTTGTAGCTTTAAGATTTGGTGCAAATACCTCATCATAATCAAATACATTTTGATTAAATCCTTGTGCTACTAACCTAGCCTTATAAGTTACTTTCCCATTATTTCCAGTCTTTACTTTAAATATCCCATTGATTGCAGTGTTTGGCCTCTTCTCTCTATAAATGCATTATGTTGAGGCCTATATGGTGCAGACTTTTTATGTTGAATACCTGCCATTCTAAGTCTATTCTGGAATTTATTATTTGTAAATTCCGCACCATTATCTGTTATAAGAGTTACTAATTTCTTTTTAGTTTTCCTCTCTGCAAATTTTAACCAATTAAAGAAATTTGTATACGTTTCAGTTTTTCTCTTCATTAGAAAACAGAAACCATACCTAGAATAGTGGTCCATTATGCTTAATATGTATCTAGCACCACCTACACTTGGCTTTTTAGGACCTATTATATCGGCAAATACTACCTCTAAAGGCTCTTTGGTAGTAAATCCATCAACTCTATTTGCCGGTATAACTTTGCTTTTGTTTTGATTACAAGCAGAACATTGCAAATACTTATTACAAGGTTTCAAACTTATTCCTTTAGATAGTTGAACAGTTCTCTTAATCATTTTAAAATTTAAATGACCTAGCCTTCGGTGTAACAAGTGAATACATTCATTATGAGGTTTTCTATTATCATAAACTGTGTTAGCCACTTCTAAACCATTATCATTTAACACATATAAGTCACCTCTTAAAGATGCAGTAATTTTCTTACCTTCTTTTTCAATTAAACAAGTATCTCCCCTAAAGGTAATTATGTATCCTAATCTAAACAACATTTTATCTGAAAGCAAATTAAATTTAAGTTGAGGTACATATAACATTTTTATGTTCTCATTTATACTAGAACAATGAGCAATACCTTCACCTTTTGCCTTCAGTTTCCATCCGTTTGCCAGTGAGATATGCTGTGAACTCATGGACATTTTTACAATTTTTTTGTTATCATTTGTAATACAGTGGGACGCACCACTGTCAACCACCCATAAATTATTATTTTTTACAACTCCATTACTATACATTGCTAACTCATAATTCTTATTTCTTCTTTGATGGCTTACAGCATTCTGGCTTGCATTTTGGCGCTTTGGTTTCTTACAAAATCTTGCAAAATGTCCTCTCCCCCCACAATTAAAACACTTTTTAATTGCGTATGCAGTAGGAGATTCATTATTTTCCTTTTGAGGTTGCTCCCTCCTTAACTGATCTCTTTCAAGCCTTCTTCTGGCCTCTTCAATCAATCTGCCAGTGATATCAGTTAAAGTTAGGCTTTCTTTAGGCAATATTTCAAGGGAAGTTACGTAGTCATCAAAACTTTCATCTAATGAAGATAGAATTATGTAGACCTGGTGTAGTTCAGAGAAAATTAACTCCTTCTCATGAAGTTCTTGAAAAATGCTTTTCATAGTATTCAAATGACTCAGCATATCACCATTCTTTTGGAGATACGTGCGGAAAAGCTTCCGTGTTAGATTTATGTGAGCACCAACGTTATCTCGAACATAAATCCTCCTGTTTTTGCCAACACCCAACTGCTGTTTGCTCTCCACGTATATGAACAAGTTGTTGATCAATTAATGTTAGTCCTATGATGCAAAGTGCTTGTTCATTTTTCTGTTTAAATTCTTCTATCTTCTGACTATCTTCCTCATCTTCAGAATCCCATTCTTCTACGTTTGGTGGGTTTTCAATTATGTTCCACAGACCTTCTCTTCGTAGAAGTAGACTACATTTCATAGACCATGAAACATAGTTTTTTCCATCCAGCTTGGATATAAGGGACAAACTTTGTAGACTGACTTGTGCCATGTTTCACTATATGGATATAAAACTATAATTGATAAAACACAGCTGTCTGTTTACTGTAACGGGTAACAACACAAAATCTCACTTTTTACATAAACCTGTTTTTATCCTAGTTAAACTGACTTTGCAGTCTCTCTGGGCCCATAACAACATGGATGGATATTGAGGGCTTTGAGGTTGTATTCCGAATACAAGAATCCACTTTATGTCGTGTGATGTACATTAATCTGCTTCTTCCTTCCTTCCTCCTATTTGAAGTGCTGCACTGTGGAGATCAGAGATCCTGAGGGAAAGAAGAACCCATCAAATCTCCCTCGGGAGCTTTTTTTCAGGAGGACCCCTTGGGAAAATCCAAGACAGGACATCTCAGTAGGTAATGGAAGATCCTCCGATTCCCCATCTGTCTTCCCTTCGCTCTCTCTTCTCTCCTATAGAATACCTCCTCCTATTTTGTTAATTATGCATTTGGATATTATTTATTACTTACAGAAAAAAAAAGAATGAAGCTTTCTGGTTTTTATGATGGAGATCAAACAGCAGTTGAGCCTCCAAATCAAGTAAGAAAGGGAAAAGATATTAGATTTCTATTCTCCCTTCAGGAAGGGAAGCGGGTGTGCAGTGGGCTATCTACTTCTATTTCCCCCTTGTTTGGCCTGGATTATTTTTGGGTTCTTCCACAGCATGGAGAGCAGAATAGCAGGTTCAACTTGCTGTCAACCAGCATAGCTTCCTCTGGTTATCTTGTTCTGCTAGGTTCTCCTCCAACTTTGAATTTACAAGAACCAATTTTTTAAAGGTCCTTCAAGAAATAGGAATAAACATATCACAGTGGGAGAAACTTCTAGAGACCCTTTTTTGGGGGGGTGGTTTAACCCTTTGACTCGGAATTGTGCAAGGCTAATGAAAAATAAATACTCACATTACCATTTTTAAAAAGCCTAATTTATAACCTGTAGTTCAAAATAAGCAAATCGTATTAAAATATAGCAGACTATTAAAATCCAAAGGGAGTTGCCATGTTGAGGATGTAATCATGGTACTTTGGGTTACAAAATAATTTCCAAGAAGATAAAACTTCTCCAAATATTTCTTCAGTAAAAGCAATTTTCAGATTTGCCCATTTTCTCATCTAAAATTAGAACTTGTGTGACCCCCAGCCATTTAACTTAGTGCATATCTCTGCTTTGAGAATTTAGGAACAATGGAACGGAATAACAGAGTTGGTAGGGATCTGGGAGGTCTTCTAGTCCAACCCCCTGCTAAGACAGGAAGCCCTATAACATTTCAGATAAATGGCTGTCCAGTTTCTTCATAAACACCTCCAGTGTTGGAGCACCCACAATTCCTGGAGGGAAGTCATTCCACGGATTAATTGTTCCCACTGTCAGGAAATTTATCTTTACTTGTAGGTTGGTTCTCTCCTTGAACAGTTTCCATCCATTGCTTCTTGGAACATTTTCCATCCATTGCTTCTTGCTATCATGTCACCCCCTAGTCCTTTTCATGAAACTAGACATACCCAATTACAGCTACCGTTCTTTATATACAGTATTTTAGCCTCCAGTCAACTAATATTTTTTGTTGCTCTTCTTTTCACTCTTTCTAGAGTCTCAATATCTTTTTTACATCTGGCAACCAAAACTGGATGCAATATTCCAGGTGTGCTCTTACCAAGGTATTAAAAAGTGGTTGTCAGCTTTGGAAGCCATATTCCATGCTGCCACATAGTCTGAGAAAGTGGGAGGGGGTGATTTCAATTGAGTAGGTTGAAGTAGACAAAATAACATTCTTTTCTTAGTTCAAGGTTATTAAGTGTGGTGCAGCACAGAAAAAGGATCTTACACTGGGAGGGATCGTGATTGGTGCATGTCATGTGATGATGGGAGAAAAGGGGATGGATTGTAGTTTGGGACATTGTGGGAAATCCGGGAAACTTTTCGTTTCAAGATTCCACAAATATGCCAGGTGCTATTCTAATAAAGGTACTTTTGAGATTATGCTTGTCTCAGAGTTACTGATTGGAATGGAGGTTTGCTGGAATGCTGACAGTGGTATTAACACTTCATGTCATCTTGATTCTATCCCTATTAATGCAGCCTATGATTTGTTGGTTTTTTTTTGGGGGGGGGGGGCAACTGTAGCATAGTGGTGACTCATTTAAGTGGTTCTCCACTAGGACTCTTAAGATCCCTGTTGCACTTTCTACAGTTGAGCCAGGTATCACCTATTCTATGCCAGTGCATTTGGTTTTTCTTTCCTAAATGTAGAACCTTATTTTTTGCACTGTTGTCTTCATTTTCTTAGATGGGGCCCAATCTGTCGATCCTTCTATATCCCGAGCTTATCTTCTGGAGTGTTGGTATTCCTGTCAATTTGGTCTTGTCTGCAAATTTGATGAGTTCCCCTTCTATCCTCTTGTCTAAATCAATGGTGAAGATGAACAGTTCTTGCAAATCCTCCTGTTCTGTTATTTTTATAATGTCCAGGAGAGTCTTGTGTCCTTTGAGGAGGTGGCTGTGTATTTCTCTGATGAGGAATGGTCTCAGCTGGATCCTGTCCAGAAAGTGCTGCACTCAGAAGTCATGCTTGAAAACCATAGGAACGTGGTCTCTCTGGGTAAGAGTTTTCTAGTCCCCAATCAGAGAGTTCAAGAAGAGGGATTATAGTTAGTTTTTTTATTTAAAAACCACGAATCATATATTGTCTCCTGGGAGGGAAAAGGAAAAGATCTGACCTTCTCATGCTCCAAGGAAGGAAGAGTCAATGTCTCTTTGCTTAGGTGCCATTTCTTATCTGTATTTTTCCATTTCTATTTGAACTTCTCTGTGGAGGCTGAAAAGAATGAGGTGTGCTTTTATTTGTCCTCTGGAGGTCATGTGAGAGGAGTGTGTTGTCATTTGTCCACTGCACCTCCCCAAATTGTGTAAGAACAGAACTTTCACGCTTAGCCCATGGAAGAGCATTCTCCCAATCCAATTCAAGAACGAAGGCCTCAGGCAGTGTGACTCAGAGCATCCTAGAGAACAAGTAATCCCCAAATTATGACAGTTCACTTAGTGACCATTCCAAGTTATGACCAACCCTCCTCCAAGTACTTGAGATCCAATCCCCTCTTTGTTTTCAAAGACTTTTGCCCTGGATCTCGTGCAATCCTCAGTTCTTAAAGAACACAGGCCTAAAGTACTTCTGTTTGAGATCATATGAGATTAGTAGCCTGAGATCTTGCACTACTGGTCTCGTGTGATCTCGTACTAAAGTACTTTAGGCCTCCGTTCTATGCGAACTGACGCCTGTACCAGATCCGTCAATAGAGCCCTTTTAAGCCATGAGACTTTGGGGCAGCAAAATAGCCATTCTTGAAGCATCCCAACCTTTCCAGTCAGCACGAAGGGCGTTTACAAGGCAATGGGGGCTTCAGGATGGGATTTAAAGTCTCATTGCTGGGATTGAGGAACGGGCCAAATGGGGGTCCCACCCGCCAGACGCCGTGGAGCAGCTGGTCCAAGATACACTGCAGAAGGAGTTTGTTTCAAAAAAATTTCATTTCTCACAGGTCTCTTCTGAAATTAACCCACCCCAATAAATCTTAAGCTTTCTCCTAATTCCTCCTTGGATGTTTCCCCTGATTATTATGAAATTCAATGGTGAAAAAAGTAAGGTTCCACCTTTAGGCAAGAAAAACAAAATGCAGAGGCACAATATATGTGGTACCTTGCTCAATAGCAGTAACCGTGAGAGGGATCTTAGAGTCCTAGTGGACAACCATTTAAATGTGAGCCATAGTGTGCATCAGCTGCCAAAAAAGCCCACACAGTTCTAGGCTGCATAAACAGAAGGATTGAATCAACTTTATAATGCCTAAGTAAAGCCATGCTTGGAATACTGGATCCAGTTTTGATCGCCACGATATAAAAAAAATATTGAGACTCTAGAAAGAGTGCAGAGAAGAGCAAAAAGGATGATTAGGGGACTCAAGGCTAAAACATATGAAGAATGTTGCAGGAACTGGGTATGTCTAGTTTAATGAAAAGAAGGACTAGGGGAGACATGATAGCAGTTTTCCAATATCTCAGGGGCTGCCACAAAGAAGAAAGAGTCAAACTATTCTCCAAAGCAACTGAGAGTAGGACAGGAATCAATGGGTTGAAACTAATTAAGGAGGGAAGCAACTTAGAACTAAGGAGAAATTTCCTGACAGAATAATTCATCAGTGGAAAACTTGGCCCCAGAAGTTGTGAATACCTTAACATTGGAAGTTTTTAAGAAGATGTTGGATAACCATTTGTCTGAAGTGGCATGGGGTTTCCTGCCTAAGCAGCGGGTTGGACTAGAAGACCTCTAACCTCCCTTCCAACTCTGTTATTCTATTATATTCCTTAACTCAAAACTGATTCTGAATGAGAGTTGCATATATGGAATAATTGTAAAGAAAGATGTTTTCTAGATATTTTCAAAGCTTTCATGACTCATGAATATTGAAACCATCATGTCTATATCAAACCACTGTAGGCATGCAAACATACAACCTAATGGAATTTCGGAGAAATTCAGAAGGAAATTCACTTGACTTTCTACACTTTGATCTTTTTCTCTAACCTCATTTTCATTTCCCTTTTGCTTTGAAGGTAATAATGGGCAGGAGAATCAAGATTCCTGTGAACTGTTCCAAGTGATCTGTGCTAAAGATGGAACGGAGAAGCTTGGAATTCAAATGGAATTTGAAAACCATGAGAAAAACCAGTCAATGAATCTGGAAAGTTCATCTTCCACTGATGCTCCGATGCAAGGCTTTCTTGCCCAAGAAGAGAAAATAAGGAAAAAATATACTGGAAAAAGTGTGAAGCTAATCAAAGCTGAAATACAAGTAAATGAACACCATTTAACCCAAAACAAAGGAGAAGATGCTATAAGAAGACACAATGGAAAAAATTACAATGGGACATACATTCTTTCTCTTGGAAATAACTTTCTTACATCTCAAAAAGTGATTGACACAAAAGAGAAGCCTTATAAATGTTTGGAATGTGGAAAATGTTTTAGAACAAGCAGGCAACTTACTATCCATGAAAGGATCCACACAGGGGAGAAGCCATATAAATGCATGGAGTGTGGAAAGACCTTTGCTCAAGGTGCTCATCTTACTTCCCATAATTTGATCCATACAGGGGAGAAACCATTTAAGTGCATGGAGTGTGGAAAGACTTTTGCTCATAGCAGTACACTTGCTTCCCATGAAAGGATCCACTCAGGAGAGAAACCATATAAATGCATGGAGTGTGGAAAGACCTCTGCTCACAAACATGGTCTTACTTTCCATAAGATGATCCACACAGGGGAGAAGCCATATAAATGCATGGAGTGTGGAAAGACTTTTGCTTATAGTAGTGACCTTAGTAGGCACAAAAAGATCCACTCAGGAGAGAAACCATATAAATGCATGGAATGTGGAAAGACCTTTGCTCTTAGCGGTACACTTAGTAGGCATACAAGGATCCACACAGGGGAGAAGCCTTTTAAATGCATAGAATGTGGAAAGACCTTTGCTCGAAAATGTAATCTTATTTCCCATAAAATAATCCACACAGGGGTGAAACCGCATAAATTCATGGAGCATGGAAAGACCTTTGCTTATAGTACTGGTACACTGCTGAGAAATCACCTCAATACTCACAGAGGTACTCGTCCTCACAAATGCCCTGACTGCAACATGGCCTTTGTGACAAGCGGAGAGTTGGTTCGACATCGTCGCTACAAACATACCCATGAGAAGCCATTCAAGTGTTCCATGTGTGACTACGCCAGCATGCAGATTTGCAAGTTGAAACGCCACATTCGTTCTCACACTGGGGAACGCCCATTCCAATGCAGCTTGTGCAGCTATGCCAGCAGAGACACTTACAAGCTGAAGAGGCACATGAGGACCCATTCTGATGAGAAGCCCTACGAGTGTTACATTTGCCACGCTCGCTTCACCCAGAGTGAGACCATGAAGATGCACATCCTGCAGAAGCACACGGAAAACGTGGCCAAGTTCCACTGCCCCCACTGTGACACAGTGATTGCACGAAAGAGCGACTTAGGTGTCCATTTGCGGAAGCTGCATTCCTACATTGACCAGGGTAAGAAGTGTCGTTACTGTGACGCCGTGTTCCATGAGCGATACACACTCATCCAGCACCAGAAGTCTCACAAAAATGAGAAGCGCTTCAAATGCGACCAGTGCGACTATTCGTGCCGACAGGAACGGCACATGATCATGCACAAGTGAACCCACACTGGAGAAAAGCCTTGTGCCTGCAGCCATTGTGACAAAACCTTCCATCAGAAGCAGCTGCTTGACATGCACTTCAAGCGCTACCACGATCCCAACTTTGTCCCAGCTGCCTTCGCCTGCTCTAAGTGTGGCAAAATGTTCACACACCGTAACACAATGGTCAGACATGTAGATAATTGTTTAGGACCTGATGAGGTTGGAGGAGAGAACGGAGGGAAACCCAAGAAGGGAAAATGTGGGCGGAAGAGAAAGATGCGCTCCAAGAAAGAGGATTGTTCTGACAGCAAGGAAAATTCTGAATCAGAATTGAATGAGAATGAGGAGGAAGAAGAAACAGCGGTTGAAGTTGAAGCTGAGCCAGAAGTAGAACCTGTGGCCCCAACTCCTCACCAGTCAAGTAGTGGCCTTAGTGGCCACAAAAATATCTAGTCAGGAGAGAAACCATATAAATGCATGGAATGTGGAAAGACCTTTGCTCAAAGCAGTACGCTTACTTCCCATGAAAGGATCCACACAGGGGAGAAGCCATATAAATGCATGGAGTGTGGAAAGACCTTTACTAATTGCAATACACTTACTTCCCATGAAAGGATCCACATGGCAGTAGCCATATAAATGCATGGAATGTGGAAAGTGTTTTTCTCAGAAAGGTCATTTTCTCATAAAAGGATCCATGCTCCGGAGAAACTATATAGCAATAGCAATTCCACTTAGACTTATATACCACTCCACAATGCTTTACCACACACTCTTGAGCAGTTTACAAAGTCAGCTTATTGTCCCCAGCAATCTGGATCCTTATTTATCATCCTCAGAAGGATGAAAGACTGAATCAACCATGAGCTGGTCAGGATTGAACTTCTGGCTGTGGGCAATTAGCCTGTAGTACTGCATTCTAACCACTGACCCACTATGGCTCTATAGATTTTTGTGTATATGTATATTGTGCCTTTCTGATCCAAATGAGACAAGGTGGAATCCAACAAAATGAAACTTAATATGGAGAAAAGTAAGATTTTACACCTGGGCAGAAAAAACATTACATGAAATCTGCTGTCAGGGTTCCAACTGATGCCCTAATTCAATCATGAGCCTCTAGCCAAGCTTCAAAAGAAATCCAGTTATTTATTAGGAGGTTCATGTCAGCACATTCCAAGTGAAGCCAACTCTGACCCCTGTAATTTACATTCCAACTCTGGTTCCCCCCTCTCCCCAAGGTGTGTCATCAGCCACATTCTCCAAATGTGGGTTACCGCAGAGTTGGCCTTCACATACATATGGCTGCAATGTGCTTTTGCTTTGACTGACATGCTGTTTCGTGGCAGCTGCAGTGTTTGTTTTCCATCCCCCTTGTCTATGGCAACTCAAGAGCAGGCCAGGGATGCTTTGTGAGTTGACAGCTGGCTCAAAAGCAGTAACTGTGAGAGTGACCTTGGGAGTCCCAATGGATGATCACTTAAACATGAGTCATGTGTGTGCGGCAGCAGCTGTAAAAGCTAATATAATCCTTGATTCTATAAACAGAAGTATAGAATCAAAATCACATGAAGTATTAGTACCATTTTATAAAGCCTTAGTAAGTTCTTCTCATCCTTCCTATTACCCATCTCTTCCAATTTATGACTATACCATGTTGCTTGTATCTTTGCAATTTATATTGTTTTATTTGGTCCCTAGTATGATTTGATTATTAGTAACCTATGACTGTCACTAAGTGTTGTATCTTGTGATTCTTAATGATTGTATTTTATTTTTTCTTTATGTACACTGAGAGCTTATGCTCCAAAGACAAATTCCTTGTGTGTCCAATCACACTTGGCCAATAAAGAATTCTATCCTATCCCATTGCAACAGGAGAGATTATCTGGAGCTTAGTTCAACTCTGGGGTCCTTGGGGGCTTCTGTGCTTGGTTATTTCCTTGGAGACATTGAATTACCCAACTAGGTCAGATAAATTCCCTCCATCCCTGAATTTTGAACCCTCAGCAGAAGGTGGAATGTGTGTTTCACAAACACACACACCCCACACAAGAGGGAACTGCCATTTTCTGGTGGTTCTGAGGGGAGGAAGGAGAAGCTACTTGTACCAGGTGGATGTCGTGAGCCACACAAATAATCCAGTTGATCAAGATTGGGAGAGGGGGGAGAAGGAGAGGGAAATGGACAAACCTTGGGTTCAGCTGAGGAAGATGGGATTTGTGGTCCTGGGGCAGACATTTGAAAGAAGATGTAGTCCACAGAAGAGAATATCTGGAGGTTGGGTTAAACTCTGGGGTTGTTGGGGCCTTCGTTTGCTTGGTTCGCTTGGAGACATTTCATTACCCAGCTAGGTAACATCCTCAGTGCAAAGGAAAAAGGGGATTGGCTGCCTGTTTAGATGCCTTGCCGGAGATTGTGTGGTTCCCTCCTGGATGGTTCCTTGATTGGAGGATTGTTTTCTGCCTGTTTGTTTGTCTGGTGCTGATCCCTGTTTATCTATTGGCTATTGGAGGGAAAGTGTCTCTTTTTCATTTCCTTCCTAGGATTGTGTGTGTGTGTGTGTGTGTGTGTGTGTGTGTGTGTGTACAAATGTGAGTTATCTCTCTGCATCTATTGAAAACCAGAGATTGACCTTTCAGGATTACTGGATAAAGAACTTGAAATAAAAATTGGAACTTTATTACTGTACAAGCTAGTACAAGTAGGAATTTTTAATATGTAAAACTGGAAATATACCTCCATCCCCAAGATTGAAGGTGGGTGGACAGAAGAAATGAGGAAATGGGCTGGGAGGGCGAGATGAGCTGTTTGGACCAGAGAAAAGAAAAGATCCAGCTGTGTTTCTACCTGGAAACCACTTCTGGGCTTTGTGCTTGAGGCAGAAGGAAGGGAAACCTTCTCTATAGGATTTGCTGATTAGGATTGCTTGCTATAGAAATGTACCAAATTTACTACGAATGAACAGTAGAGGGAAGAATTGAGGCTGAAATTTCACTTTGCATTCTGCTTCCTTGAAAATAAACTTTTCCCCTTTTTTCTACACTTCCCCTTCTCTTTCCCATTTCCCGACGACCTTTATTTTCTATTTCATTCCATGGGAATCTTCATATAAAAGATAAGCAAAAGGAGCCTTTTGTTTTAGGGGCACTTCCTGTTCCACAGCCGAAATACCCAAATTCCTGGGGGAAAAGCTCATCCGGATTCCACAATATATCCGCACTTTTCTATTGGCAAAATTTCTTCTTAAACGTTACTTGATGTTTTTCTCTGCCGGGAGAGAGAAATACCTGGCAATGATGGCAAAGAGGTGGAAGGTCTCCGAGGAAAGGAGTTCAAAACGGAGGTGAAACGGCCCGACTGGATTCCGGGATCTTCCCTCGGGGCCCTGGGTGTACGAGGAAAAGGGGGACCCGGATTCCTGACCCGCAGAAAGAGGGCGGGTCCTGGTCATGAGGGGTCGAGGCGGGGGAATCGGAAGAAGCGGGTTCATCCAGACGTTCCGAGCCAGGGAGACGCGTGTTTCAAGGAAGGAAATCGCCTTTTTCTCCCGTGAACCGAAGCGGCGCCTTTCCCGAAAGAGCCGAGCGGAGGATTCCCCCGGGAAAGTGTGTGTGTGTGTGTGGGGGGGGCGTTGGGAAGAGGATCCTGCTGGGCTAGGAGGGATCCCGGCAGATCTTCTCCGCCTCTTCCTGGCTTAGCTGAGGGTTTTGGGAGGCTTTCCTTCGGATTGGGGGTGGCTGTGACCCCCCAAGTCTTCCCTGCTATGGGGTGCCCCTCCCCCTTCTCCTTCAGCCCAGAAGCTCTTCCCACGGCAGGAATCTCCACATGCGAAGTGAACGGGGGCGGGCGGAGGGAGGGGATGTCCCAGCCAGATGCTTCCAGCCCCAGAGGAGGAATCCGGGCTCTGAATTGAGGCGAGAAAGCGCTTTTATTTGACTTTGGAGGTGGGAGGGGCCAGAACGAGCGGAAGCACCAATGGAAATTCTCCCTGCGTGAGCGTCATCGGTCTCTGGGCAGAGTCCTTTGTGGCTTCAGCTGAAGGAGGAGGGAGAGTTCAGCGCAGAGAGCGAAAGTGAAAGTGGGAGGGGGGATCCCTTCAGTCTTGGGGGGCTGCAGCTGAAGGGGGGGTTCATGGCAGCCCCAGAAGGGACCCTCCACTTTCTTTGCTCTCCTCCCGATTCTCTGCCAGGGATTCCCGCTTCCCTCCCCTCTTATCTCCCCATATTGAGATCAAGAACAGCCCTTCTTGAACCAAACACCAACCTTCCATTTGCGGTGGGTCAGAAAACCCCTCAGCGCCGGGGCTGCAACCGGCCCCCCGGCAGCCCCTTTCCCAGGAAGGGAACCAAGGGCAGAGGATGGGGGGGGGGCTGGGAGGGCAGTGACCCAAATCCCAAAACACCCAGAGCAGCCCTTGAACCTCCCGCTTGTATCCTTACGATTTATATGGACTGTTTCCTAGTATGATTTGATTGCTTATTGTACCGTTTGACTATCATTATGATTCTTGACTCTTGACGGATGTATCTTTTCTTTTATGAACACTGAGAGCTTGTGCACCAAAGACAAATTCCTTGTGTGTCCAATCACACGTGGCCAATAAAGAATTCAATTCTATCCTATCTTATCCTATTCCATATTCTATTCTGCTCTCTTATTTTCTGTATTCCACATACTCTGGGTGGGGGAAAACTCCACTTGCGACCCTTCCTGGAGGGGAAGAGCGACCGGAGTCCCCATCCTGCCCTGGAGATCTTCTCCCTCGCTCGCTTGGGATCCCAGAAGCAGATCCCGGAGTGGGGCAGCGTCTCCAGGGATCGACCCTCAGCTGACAGAAGCCCGGAGAAGGTGGGATCCCCCTGGGAGGGGAAACGGGATCGTCTGAAGCCTCCGAGGGGGATCCGACCTGGAAGGGATCAGGAGGGATTTCCAGAAGAGGCTGGACGGGCCGTTTGTCCGGGGTGGGATAAGGGCTCCTGCTTCGGCCAGGGGGTCGGACTAGAACACCTCTAAGGTCCCTTTCAGACTCTGTGCCTCCCTCTCCCCATTGGCTCTCCCCCCACCGAAGCCTTCCACCCCCCCCCGCCCCTCCTGCATGACCCCGCCCCACTGCGCCGAACTATCTCCTGTATCGGCTGCAGTCAAGGGAGGCTCTGCCCGGAGACCGATGACGCTGCAAGAAGGGACGATTCTCATTGGTCCTCCTGCTCTTCCTGGACGGTCCCAGTCCAGAAGTGAGGGGAAAACTCCGCCTTCCCCAGTTCAGACCCTCCGATTCCTCCTGGGGGGCCGGGAGCCTCCGCGTCCTTCTCGCCTCTCTTTGGGGGCGCTTGTGGGGCGGCATCCATGGCTTTGGCTGGGCTCCCCCTGGTGCTGCTGGTGGGGGCGCTGGGCTGGATCCACGGAAGAGAAGGGGGGAAGGAGACCCCCGGTAAGGAGGGGGCTGGGCAGGGGAGGAGGGGGCTGGGAAGGACCCCCGGAGGGGGAAGGAAGCTGGTGGGTCTCCAGAGCCTCCAAGAGCCTCGATCTCTGCGTGGTCTCCTTCCCCTTCCCTACCCGTATTGCCCCCCCCAGGAGGAGGGAGAGGGACCCTCCCTTGTTCCCCGGTTGTAGCCGAGGTGGGGGTCGCAGCTGGGCCCCTCCCCCCCATTGTCTGGGTCGGAGTGGGCTGCCTGGAAAGAGGCAGGGAAGGAAAAGCGAAAGCGAAAGAGGGAAACTGAGGCATTTTCAGCCCTGAAGCCACGAAGGAAAAAGAGCCAAAGAATTTTGGCTTCTGCAGAAACTTCGCTTTTTCTTCTGAATCTCAGATTTGAGGCTTTGGAGGTCAGGCAAGAGGGGAGCTTCGGTCCCTTCTGGGGGAGGCTCTGAATTTGGGGAGGGGACCAAGAACCCCCCCACCCCCATCATCCCGCACTGGCTCTATCGGGACCTGGAGGGGGAGGGGGGAACGGAGGGAGGGGGGGCTCTGAGTTGCTCCTCCGAAAGTGGCTCGCACTTTAGTGAGGAGGGGGCTGAAGACCCTCCCTTTGAGAGGCTCTTGGGGGGGCTGCAGGGCGTCTTTTTGGGGAGGGGGAAAGGAAACAGGTGGGGATCCCCGACAGTCACCCAAAGGGAGGGAAATGGGCTCAAGATTTGGGGAAGAAGAAAAGTTGGGGGGGAATTCAGGGAAGGGGGGTGAAGGGCTGGGAGACCTCAAGAGTGCGAGTCTAGATGTCCTCCTTGTGCCGCCTCCCCTCATTCCCCGCCCCCCAAAGGAAGAGAGAGCAGGAGGTGTGGATATTCCCTTCCCTCCAGCCCTCCCCCCACCGTTCCTCCCCCTGGAGATCCAAAGTTCCCTGCAGAGAGAAGATCTGCTCGACCAGTGGAGCTTCTGCCTGCCCTCCCCC